TCTCTCTCTGTGTGTCTGCCTGTACGTCTCTCTGTCTTTCTCTGTGTGTCTGTCTCCCTCTCTCTCTTTCTTTCTTCCTCTCCCCCTCCGTTTCCTGTCCTTTCTGTGTCTTTTCAAGCTCTGAGACCCCTGGGGCCCATCCTGCTTTGTGAAAGGAGTCTTTTCAGCCTGCGGAATTCTATCACCAGGGCACTAAACCTCACAATCTAAACCCCTTTCCTGCCTCTGGTCCATTCTGAGTCACCCTTGGCTTCTTACTGGACAGACGTTTTTTTGCAATTGCCTGGAATTTAGGAAAATATTCCTCACCCTGTCCGGGCACAGCGGGGAGTAGTGGTGGGGGGTGGAAGAAGGGATTCTTTTTTGTTTTCTGAAAGCAAAGAGCTTAACCAATTCACTCTTCAGAGCTGGGACCATTCAACGTCCTTTCTCCCTCATTCTTACAGTGTTTTTAAGTGAGGCCATGGGTTCCTCCCTGATGCTCACTCTTCCTTGGTTTGGCAGAAATCTATTAAAATGCACTTTCTTTTCCTAATTGTCCCTGACTGGATTTGAACTTACCAACGCAGGAAAGGTGCAAAGCATATGTTGTTATCTGAGATAGTCCAATGCACGACGCCACAGAGGTTTCTAACAAGGTAACCTTTCTCCTGGGCCACCTGTCAGTGTGCACACTTGAACTTCCAACCTGCTTTTTTGTTTGTTTTTTTGTGTGTGTTATTTACACACGAACCATGCCAGACAATCTTAGGGGATCGTAAGTCTGTCACTTCTGTTTGTTCTCCACGGAAAACCCAAAAATCAGGTTTAGAAGCCAGGGTGGGGACACTTGGTCTCACATAGGTTGGGATGTGGTCAGGACCTTGTGTGAGATGGACACAGTGACCGCAGCCATGGTCACTGTCAGAGAGGATGAGGACCAGACAAGACAGGACAGGACAGGGGTCAGATCTGTGAGTGCCAGGGGTACTGAGAGTCCTGACACCGCACACCAATTGTAAGACAATAAACATCTCTGTTTGCTAAAGTCACCTCCTTGTGGTGTTTCTTGTTTAAGCAATTCAATAACCTAAAATAGTGAATCATCTTGGGCCATTTCACCCCTCACCTCCAGCTGACTTCACTTCTTTTTATCTTTTAAACTTCATGGACTTTTAGAAATTTTATTGATAATATTTTTATGTGATACATAGCAACCCTATGTACAACAGCCCTAAACTCTGCTCTGTCTTGTGCCA